TTCAAGATATGCCGTAAAATAATGGCGCGGCGAAGCAAGTCGTCAAGCCCCGCAGCCAATGATGCAAGGAATTGCACCAATACATCAAAACGCAAGAATCGTTGGTCTTGCAGAAGCACGCCTTACTTCCCATATTGAAGTAGAACAGATCTACTATTTTGTAATGTAACAAAATGATTACTAAACCACTTCCAGCTTTTGTTATGAGACTTGTGCTGGTAGCTATCTCTTGTTCCAGTTATTCGAGATCATCTTGAAACGTTTATCATCTTGCCCTTGGCTTTGGCTATTATTGGTCTCCTTTTCCCCTTGAGCCACGTTTGATTTTATAACTCTTTTCAATCCAGAAGCATGTCCAACGCAACATTTGCATTTCCACCTGTTTGTTTCAGTACTGCCATGACTTGTTCCTTTTTGATCTCCTCTCGAATAACATCGTAGTCGTACAGGTTGCGTATGTGTGTACTCGCTGCACTGTCCCCAAACGAAGTCTGTGGTGCCAGTTTGATCTCTTTGGATTTCCATTTATCCATGTTGGCCATGTTGGCCATTGCGATTCCGTTTAGGGTCGAGTTGATTTCATCTTGGATGCTTGTTTCAGTCTGCACTGTCGACTCACTCGTCATCCCCATCATCGTCATAGTAGTATGGCTCATCTTCCTTACGAGTTGAATCATCATTGTCATCATCGCTATCGTCATCATCGCTATCGTATTGTTGTCTTGCCATCAATTGTGGGATCTCGTCATGTAATGAGTCGTCATCAGAGATGTCGTCGTGTCTGTCGATCAATGATACCTCATCGTGTCCATGGACAACACCATGTCTGCTGACCACAGGTGGTTGGATGTCGTCATCATCAGAGTCGTCCTCGTCTGAGTTGTATTCGTGCATCCCGCCATTGTAGTGCTTTGCATTCATCTTTCGTTCCACGAGTTGTGGGATCTCGTCCCCATCTGAATCCTATGTGCCCAATCCGTCCACGTCAGAATAGCGTTCTCGATCTCTTCTGTGACAAAAGCGTGTTCACTTGTAGGCTTTGTCGCATGGAATGTTTCGTCGTTTTTCGCGTCGCAATCATTTTGTCCGAAGTTCGCCATAAAATTATCAAAGAAATCGCATCGTGAAGGAAATTTCCGTGCTCGTGAACTTTGTCGTTTGGATCTTCCACGATAGCATGCACGATCACTTCATCATCTGCTTCTTCATCTTCCCAATCACTCTCTTCACATTCTTCATTCCACTCGAACCAGACGTTCTTCTTCTTTGTTGGTTCTTCTGGAGCAAGGAATGTCTCTGTTGCCATCAGCAGCACTACTTCAGCAACATCATCCTTATCGTCATCGTTGTTGTTGCTGTTGTTGTTCTTGTTACCATTGTTACCGTTGTTTCGGTTCTCTAGGTTTCTTCTGCATTCATGCTTCTTGTGGCCTCTGATACCACAATGGAAATAGGTTCCAAGGAAAGGTCCTCGTCCACCACCTTCTGTTGCATTGGCGAAGTCCTTCTGTGCGGAATTCAGTTCTTCCTTGATGTACTTAATGGTGAGTGTGTTCGCTTTCATCATTTTCTCGAAGTCCTTTTGTTCTTGTCTGTACTTCAAAGGCAAGCTTCCAATGATGTGGATGAATTGGTCCTCTTCACTTACTGGGTGCTTCATCTCTTCCAAACGGACACAAATCTTGCTGAGTTCGGTGATCCACGAAGCTGGATTGGCAAACTTCTCAATGTTTCATTTGTTTAGCTTGCTCTTCAACTTGATGTACGAGGTGATCGTCTTTGGCTCATACTCATCCTTCAACTTGTCCCATGCTTCTTTCGCATTTCCTTTTGGGTAGTTGACTTCGTCTCTGCTTCCGGCTACCAAATTGAAAGCAACCTTTCCTTCTGCCGTGTCAGAATTCATACTGATCATCAAGTCACTGAAGGCTTTGATGTTCATCTCGCTGATCTCCTCGTCTTCCTTAATCTTAGCTGCGTCAGTTTCAGCATCCATCTCTGGTTTGGTTCGTAGAGTCACTTCTCCAGTGATCACTCCATCGAATCTTTTGATGCTAGCTCTTGCTACGTACTTCAATCCAAAGCTATCGTAGTCTTCAGGTTCTCCACTGAATTGGAATCGTGGTGTTTTCTCTTCATATTAACTTGTCTCGTTCTCTTTTTCGTTATTTTCTCTCTTATCTTTTCTCTTTCTCTCTCTTGACACTTGCGATATCTCGGTCGTTATCGATTTCAGCTCTCTCTCTTCTAGCTTACGATAAGACACCTCTTTCTCTTGCTGCTCTTACTAATAATGAAACTTCTCTTGGAATTCAGATCTGACGTTTCGAAACGTGTTGGAATCTCCCTAGAAGTAAAATCTATAGCTCTTGCAATTGTGAGCTTAAATATTCCTTACTCTATTTTCTATTCGCGCTTCTCAGTCATACACAGCATCTGGTATCTTGCTATGACTGCATTCAGCTCACTTTACCTTATGGATTGATCTTGCTTCTGTCTTATCAATACTCCTTACATGATTGTCAGGCGTTGTTCAATCTTATATACGTAATAGCTCTCTAATGCCTCATCGTTTTGTGTCCCTTCTCCTCATTCTCCATTCTACCAATATCTCCAAATACACATTGCCTTTTCCAAATAAGAGGATGAAAATGTTCAAACGGCTGTCAAGCGAGCTCGCTCAAAGGTCTTGACTTTTGCTGGTGATACCGATGATGAAGGAGACAAGGACGAAGACATGGTAGACATGATGGACTTTATGAACCT